CCCAGGCTGGCTTTGAACTGGGATCCTCAGATCTCAGCCTCCTGAGTAGCTAGGATTACAGGTGTGAACTACCAGCGTCTGGTTCAACTTCTTTCTTCAAAATTCAAAATTCATCAAGTTTTTGCAACAACATCTTTTTCTTTTTTTTTTTTTGGTAGGTCGTGGGGCTTGAACTCTGGGCACTGTCCCTCAGCTCTTCAGCTCAAGGTTAGGGTTCTACTGCTTGAGCCACAGTGCCACTCCTGGCTTTTTTTTGCTTATGTGGTGCTGAGGAATCGAACCCAGGGCCTCATGCATGCAAGGCAAGCGCTCTACCACTGAGCCACCTTCCCAGCCCTGACTCCATTTTTTGTTTTTTTGGTCAGTGGTGGGGCTGAACTCTGGGCCTGGGCACTGCTCCTGGACTCTTCAGCTCAAGGCTAGCGCTCTACCACTTGAGCCACAGTGCCACTTCCAGATTTCTGGTGGTTAACTGGAGGTAAGAGTCTCATGGACTTTCCTGCCTGGGCTGGCTTTGAGCCTCGTTCCTCAGATCTCAGCCTCTTAAGTAGCTACGATTACAGGTGTGAGCCACTGGCTCCCAACTAAAATGACTCAGTTTCTTTAAAACCAGTGCCGGGCACAGGTGGCTCATGCCTTTTACCTTAACGACTCAGGAGGCTGAGATCTGAGGATCACGGTTCAGAGCCACCCTGGGCAGGAAACTCCATGAGACTCTTATCTCCAATAAACCTCTAGAAAACTGGAAGTGGTGCTGTGGCTCAAGCACTCACCTTGAGCTGAAGAGTGCCGGGACAGTGCCCAGGCCCAGAGTTCAAGCCCTGCAACCTACAAAAATAAAAATAAAAAATAAAGTTTAAAACATGAACATAGCTGGGCACCTGACTCACATCCGTAACTCTAGCCATGGGGAAGCTGAGATCTCACGATCATGGTTTATAGCCAGCCAGGAAGAAAAGTCTGTAAGACACTTATCTTCAGTTAGCCAGCAAAATGCTGGAAGGGTCTAGAACATGTCAAGTATGCCCTCTAGCACAGATTATTTTCTAAAACATGATGATGTGTGACAAGAAAATTGTAACAGAAGTTTTTGTTGCTGTTGGGTTTATTTTTTCTAATAATACTTAAATCATGATCCATTTGATCATGGGCACTATCTCTGAGCTTCTTTTGCTCAAGGCTAGCACTCTACCATTTGAGCCACAATGCTACTTCTGGGTTTTTAGTAATTAGTTAGGAATAAGAGTCTCCTAGACAGCTGGGTGCTGGTGGCTCACGCCTGTAATCCTAGCTACTCAGGAGGCTGAGATCTGAGGATCACTGTTCAAAGCCAGCCCAGGCAGGAAAGTCTGTGAGACTCTTATCTTCAATAAACAACCAGAAAACTGAAGTGGAGCTTGGCTCAAGTGGTAGAGCGCTTGCCTTTAGCTGAAGAGCTGAGGGACAACACCCAGTCCCAGAGTTCAAGTGCCACACCACCACCAAAAAAAAAAGAGTCTCATAGACTTTCCTGCCCAGGCTGGCTTCGAATAGCAATCTTCAGATCTCAGTATGAGCCACTGGGCTGGGCTTGGTTTATGATTTTAATCTAGATGGATCCAGTCATGATTGCAATTACCTTCATCCTATGTAGTTAGTGTCTCCTTTTCCCTAGCTAAATATTATCTACTTCACATGGCCACTATAAGAACTGTGGGTGACCATGTACATAAAAGTGCTTGGTATAGCCAGGCGTCGGTGGCTCACACCTGTTCAAGCCCTACGACCGACCAAAAAAAAAAAAGTATTTGGTATAGATGAGATGTTCAGTCTACATTAGTTAAACCTCAAATCTAAGAAGACTGAGAAATCCCAGCCCAATCCTGTAAGGATATCCCAACCAGAGCCACTAGAGGGCAATCGAGGACACATGGCTTTGATGAGGCTCCAGCAGCTCAGCCTTTCCCAGCAATGAGTGAGTCTCTGGGACAAACACTCCCACTCAGGAATCCTGGCTCCAAGATGTTTTCTCTGAGTCACTATACTCTCCCACAGTTGCAAAATGATCTGGCAGAAGTCCCTCAAGGGTTTTCACTGCTCACTGAGTAACATCCAAACTCAGCCTGAGTCCAAGGCCTTGCTCAATCTGGCCCTGACCTGCATCTCCAGCTTAGAGATACTGAATACTTTTTTTTTTTTTCGGGGGGGGTCCATCCTGGAGTTTGAACACAGGGCCTAGGTGCTGTCCCTGAGCTCTTTTGCTCTAGGCTAGTGCTCTACCACTTGAGCCACAGCGCCACTTCCAGTTTTCTGGTGGTTCATTGGAGATAAAAGTCTTACAGACTTTCTTGCATAGGCTGGCTTTGAATCACTATCTTCAGATCTCAGCTTCCTGATTAGTTAGGAATACAGGTGTGAGCCATAAGCACCTGGCCCTGGATACTGCTTATGAAACTACACTTGATGAATGACGTGCCCCTGTATTTTTGCTCGTTACTCCTCTTCCTTGATGCCTTTTCTCTGTCCCAACCTTCTATTACCTTACTTTTCAGTGGCTCAGAGGCCACTAGCTCCATTGTTCCCTCCTCACTGGCACACAGTGATCTTGCCCACCCAATTTCACACACAAACTATTTTTTGGGGGGGTCCAGTTGTGGGGCTTGAACTCTGGGCCTGGGCACTGTCCCTCAGTTCTTCAGCTCAAGGCTAGCGCTCTCCATTTGAGCCACAGCGCCACTTCCGGCTTTTTTCTTTTTGCTTATATGGTGCTGAGGAATCGAACCCAGGGCCTCCTGTATGCAAGGCAAGCGCTCTACCACTGAGCCACCTTCCCAGCCCACACAAACTATTTCTTACATTCATTTACCTAGCATTATACTGACTGATGCCTGCACATCTTTAATAAATTAAAAATTCTATAAATAGACAGTCTAGTAGGCAATTTGCCAAGGGCCACACCGCAAACAAGTAGCAAATATGGGATAACCAATCTGGCTCCAGTGAACTTTTTTTCTTTTTCCACTCAAGGCTAGTTCTCTACCGCTTGAGCCACAGCTCTACGTCTGGCTTTTCAGTTGTTCATTGGAGATGAGTCCTATGTAGTGTTCTGCCTTGGGGGCTTCAAACTTTGATCCTCAGATCTCACCCTCCTTAGTAGCTAGGATTATAGATGTGAGCCACCAGGACCCAGCTTCCTGGAGTTCTATTCTCAACATGAACCCACAGTATACAGTAATCTGTCATCAGTTGCAGTTGCCTGGCTCATACCTTTGCTCCTATACTGCATCAAATGAATAACTAAGAGTCACTGATCTAATTAGTAGCTCTTAAACCTTCAGTGACTTAGGGGCTGTTGGGGATCAGCAACTCACTATTGTTCATCTGAGTTAGAGCACCAGAGTGATGGATCTCATTATGAGCAACTTCAGAATCATAATTACTGTTCTGTTTGTCTCTTGATGTGTAATATCTGTATCCCCACTTCTCTGGGATAAAAACAATGTGATTGCTTACTGAAACCCTGGAAGTGTGTGTGTTTGTGTGTGTGTGTGTGTAAAGATTCTGGGTCACATAACAACTGGGATATGAGGGGGATGAGCTGGGGGATGTTTTTTTGGTCCTGTCATGGGGCCTGAACTCTGGGCCTGGGCGCTGTCCCTCAGCTCTTCAGCTCAAGGCTAGCGCTCTACCACTTGAGCCACAATGCCACTTCCAGCTTTTTTTTTTCTGCTTATGTGGTGCTGAGGAATCGAACCCAGGGCTTCATGCATGCAAGGCAAGCGCTCTACCACTGAGCAACCTTCCCAGCCCTTTCTTCCCTGAGAAGGGTCTATCATTCTGAGACAACAAAGAAGTAGAAAGTGGCTCCATCTCTGCATTAAAGACATCAGTGACCATGGTCGTTAGTTAATCCCTCTTAGATTCCCCACCATTTATTAAAAAACAAACAACCAAAAAACCCAACTAACCAAACAAGAAAAACATAAAACTGGTGACTAGTGGTTCACCCATGTAATCTTAGCTACATAGGAGGCTGAGCATGGAGGATCAAGGTTCCAAGTCAACCCAGGCAGAAAATTTGTGAGATTCCATCTCCAATTCACCAGCAAAAGAATGCGTGGGCTGGAGACATGGCTCAAGTGGTAGAACACCAGTCATGAACGAGCAAGAGTGAGAAGGCCTCACTCAGTGCAAGGTCCCGAGTTCAAGCTCCAGTTCCACCACCAAAACAACACAAGTGTTCAGGCCAGCTGTGGTGGTGCTCACCTGCAATCCCAGCACTCGGACAGATCCCACATTTGAGGCCAGCCTAGGTCACAGAGTGAGTTGCAGGACGGCCTGGGGGCCACCTTACTGTCTCAAACAAACCACAAAAGGCTGAGAACATTTGCACACCGGGCAGGGCGGGGACAGCAGAGCCCGAGACACCCCTGTTCATCCAGCTACCAAAACTCGACCCTGTAAGGTACAGAATTCAAGATGACGGTCTTCAACTGGACTCCAGTTCTGGCAAGTTCGAGGAGACGACACACCTTCCTAGGCTGGGCGCCTGGATCCCCTCTGGACCCCGAGGCCCCGCGGCTGGGTGGTGCTGAGTGACACAGGGCTGGGTCCTCACCTGCAGGAGGAGGCAGCGCGACCCGGCCCCTAGGGCTGACTCGGGGAGGCCCGAGAAAGGGCCGGTGAGGGGTTCCGAACCCCTACGGCGGGGACGATCTCTGGGCTGCAGCCCCCACCGACGCCTAAAGCCCACCGGGGCCTAGAGCCGGGC